AGAGGAATTCGTCGGAAGAGACGATGAAAGAATGGCGAATCGATAGCCCACAGTTAATCGAGAGAAAAAACACGCGCAAAAACGTACAAAAACGAGATAAAGAAATAATCGCGAGACGAAGTGGCGGATGTGACAAAGAGAGAAGCACGCGAGGAAGAAATGAAGAAATCAGGAAAGGCGGAATAGGAATCGGAAAGAAGGTGAAGAAGGACGGAGAGAAAGAGAGAGGACAAGCGAGGAATCGTGTACGTTGATATACGTCGCAGGATATATTAGCGAAAGGAGGAAAGGACGAGGGACGCGAAGAACATAGAGAGCACAAGGGAAGAAAAGGGTCGAGCCTCGGGAACGGATAAACGCGCAACTGGAAGAAGTCGGGCGGGGTGGAAGGGAGCGGGGAGAGGGAAGAAAACCACGAAACAATTGGAGGAGCGGAGGCGGCCGCATTTCATGTTGTCTGGCATCGGCTCCCTTTAAAGAGTCTCTTGCTTTTTGTTAGCTCTTCGAAAATTATGATTGTTTGTCCGCGAGATTTACTGCTCGGAGGCTCCCTCGACCCACCGAGTATGTGTATACGCATGTGTATGTGTGCTCGTGTGTGCGCAAGGCGCCCTCGAGAGAGAGAGGAGCACCGCGATCTTTCGCTAGGCCGCGAACGGGTTTCCCGAGTGGGGGAGAGGGACCGGTGGTCGGGAGGACGATGGAAACGCTGGGAGGTTTACCGAGAGATTAAAGAATCGAGGATTTACAACAGCTCGCGCTACCAAATTGGTGCACCGCTGCTTCCTTCTCCCTTTCTCTCGCACGCTAATTTACTTGTCGCGCTATCTCGTCTCGGATTTATTAAATTAGTCGCTGTTTGGATTAAGAGATTTCGCTTTGAGCCGAAAAAGAATTCCGCTGAGGCCGCTTCGAATAGCAAGATAAAGGCAACTTGCGCGATTGAGTTTGTCCTTGTCTCGTCTGGATGAATAAAAAATTATGTTGAAGACTAATCGAGGAAAATTTTAATTTATTATCGATTGCACGATATTGTTTATATAATATATGTGTGTGTGATTTTAATTGAATACGTTATATCGTCTGATTATTTATGCTGTGTAATCAAAGTTGAGTATTTGTTGATCATTTATGAATGCCCGGATGTATTAATTAATGCAAGCTATAATCTTGGAAAAAGAAATTCAATCAAATTAAGAATTTATTAACATAATATTTATTTTATATACATATATTACGTATTGGAGATGAGAAGTTATATAGATAACACTTGAATATATACTAGAAGAATCAATTGAAAAACTTTCATCCTTTCACATTATGAGATTTATGTATCTCCATCGAACGGCTTTCCTGGACATACCTTGGATTATTACGACTCCCGACTTGGACCGCAACGCATATTCCAGAAGACACCTGTTGCCGTGCCTACTCGAACTTCTCCGACTTCGCGTCGCGGGACTTTCCCCACGGAATCGCGCTAAAAATTCTTTTACGGCCTCGATGAATTTTTGCCCGCTAAGCTACCGAGAGAGTGTCCCCGCTCGAGAAACGACGGCGAGCATATCCGGCTGATTTATTCGAGATCTTATTGTGGCCGCATGTTGCCCGGGAACGGGCCAACTTCGAGGAGTATCTCGACTCCAAAAAGCGATTCTCTCTCTGGCGCGCCGGCGCGGCGATCGCTCTATAAATTTCACGAGTCTTTCGAACCCTATATTTTCTCGTTATCCTCGCGTTTTGCACGACACGTTTTATTAAAGTACGATAATTTTACGAGGGTCGGGGCCGTCCCCCTGCCTCGCCACGCTCGTGTTGCCCTCTTTTTCTCTTACGATTCGACGCGGGATCCTCATTCGCTCTTGTCTACGGTATCTTTCCTCAAATTCGAGATCCATTTTCTACTTATTCTTCTCTTCCTCTTACAATTTATCATCCCCGATATAACCGTATGCTAATTTTGTTAATTACACGCAAAAATTTTCAGTCATCGCTCTTAAATACACTCGCACGAATGGTGTCAAGTTTTCGAGCGTTTATATTGCCCGTTGATTTTTATCCCCTTCTTATCGTATATTAATATATGTATACGATGCTAATTAAGACTATACCACTGTCGCGATATGACAGCGAAATGCGAAGACGTGACGCGTGATACGTCGATGAAAACGCAGGGTACGATACAATCTTCTGTGCTTTTAATAACTCTTACACTCTCGCGAGAATAATATATTCAATTTTATTCGCATGTGGCTTTGTTATCTACGACGCATATATACGTACGACGTTAATTATGATGATATCACCGCGTGAAACGTACTTTAAAGTACTTTTCCTATGTTTAATACAAATATCTACAACAGATAAGCTCTAATTAAGACGTGCGATGCAAATTTGTAACGCGTTGCATATCGATCGAAACAATCGACGAATAGACAGAGTAATCGATTTAATTTAATATCGATAATTTTTCCACTTGAAAATCATGCAGTTTTTGATATTAAATTCAAACGTTTTAATTGCCCGAGTGTCATTGCCGCGAAACATCTTGGTGCATCGTCGTCGTCGTTGATTTCTCGCGCGTATGTACATAGATATATCCGAGAAATTGTGCTCCGAGTCAGCTCGGCAGTAAAAGGCCTAAAGTTTTTAATACTTTCAGTTGTTTTTATGGCGGCTGGCATTTGCTCTTTTTTATTGTTTCGTCCCCTTGCCGCTTGTCTCTTTCTCTCTTTCTCTTGCTCTCTCCCTTGGAACGCGCACGAGAGTCCGAGCATATCGGAGGAAGAGAGAAAAGAGGAGACTCACAGTCAGCCCTCTCTGATGTACGACTCGGCGGTCCGCGTGAAAAAAATCCCATAAACCAGTAAAAAAGCATGGGGTCTCTGGGCTAGAGGGGTCGAGAGGGGGATGGACGAGGAGAGGAAGACGCGAAGGGAGCGGAAGCGGGAGGGAGAGAGAGGTTCCAGTATCGCCAAAGGAATTCCTCTTATGACGAACCACGCGTGATTTTCTTTCGTCTGCCCCCTTCCCACACTCTTCACCCCCTTCTCCCCGTCAACCTTCTCAACCTCGCTTTAACATCGCGGCTTTACCCGACAGTCCCAATGCGCGTTTCTTCACCTTCGTTTCGGCCCTTTTCTTTGCTTCTTCCTTCCCCCCTCGCTGCTTCTTCGCGTCCGATTCTTTCGCGATTCTTAATCTTTCGCATCTGTCTATCTAATGCCGTCTTAATTAGCCATAGTAATGCCGACGCGTTTTATGTTTCGACGCTGAAGGGAAAAGGGGGTGGAGGGAGAAATTAAATTCTGCTAACGTAGTCTCATGTTTATCGTAAAATTTTTAGCGTCAAGTTTCCTTTTTTTTCCGCTTATATGACAAATATTTTTATATCGCTGCAAAATATTTGCAACGTCGAAATAATTCCCGCGACAAGAAATTTTCGGAAAATGGGAAATTTTGTTCT